TACTCCCAGCTCTGAAGCGGTGCTTCCAAACGTCCTTCACCGGGGAGGTGCAGCCGTCCATCCCCAGCTGGCGCGGCACGAGGGCTGACCCGTCCCCACGGATCCCCAGCGCYGCACTACGCCAGGCCTGCGGGGCGGGCGCCCGCCGCCTACCTCCTTGAGCGGCTCGGTGTCAGGGTTGGAGGCCTCGGTGGTAGTGGAGGAGCTGTCGTCGTCGGCCAGGGACCCCTTCAGCTCGTCCTCCGGGGGCCTTCCCTTCCCCTTCTCCTCTTTCTCCTCCTGCTTTTTCGGGGCTTTGACCTTGCGCTGAAGGCCTTTGCCTTTCCCTGCGGGTGAAAACCAGGTAAAGCACCGCCGGCTCTAGGCGGGGAGCCCAGCCCTCGCGCCTTTTGGAAGAGGCTGGACTCTTTCCAAATCAGAACTGGATTCGATTATTAAAAACATCAGCTCACGGGCACAGTTTGTGTGTAACCGMGTGCAGCCCAGAGCGTACAGCTGGTGAGCTTGGACCACTCTGTCCATCTGGCAGACCTGTTGTCAGCCTGAGAGTGCCTCMGAGGGCGATGAGCTCTGTTGTCACACGGTGGAACCAGGTGCCTCTGAGACCTGCTCAGAGATGGAGGCCCAGTGGTGACACATGTGATGAGTGGCCCTGGGACTTTGGGGGTCCTGGCCTTTGTCTGCACCGAAGAGAAAAACGCTCGGAGGCTCCAGTGAACMATCACAGAAAGCCTCAGGACAGCGGCCGGCACAGGACACCAAGTGAGGCCACACTGGCTACTGAGCGCCTGTAATGAAAGATCTGGATGCCACCAAGACKAACGAGGCCCAACCCCACGACATGTTCGCAGGGATGCTGTGTGTGCAGGGAGCACAGCAGTGAGCAGCCATTCCTGCCTYGAGGASCTGCTCCTGAGTATGGATGGGACACGCAGAGACACCCCCAGGTTCCACACCTCAGAGGCTCCTGCAGAACACCAGGGGGCAGGGCTGCACCCCAGCCACTCCTGTGTGAGTTGTCATTTCTAAATACATCCTTTGAAAACAGTGACTTCATACAACTTAATGTGAACCTCAAGTTTTATGCTTTTTCTCAAAGAATGTCACTGTTAWTGGGTTCCAGGGACTCAAACCTTGGCATCAAGATCAGGGGTTGGTGAACTGTGGCCCATGGGTCAAATGTGGCCTGTGGCTATTTTATATGGATTATGAGGGGAGAATGATTTTCATAGTTTTAAGTGGCRWAAAACAAACAAACAAACAACAAAAATTGACTAAATAAGCCCCAGAGAAAGTCTGTGGTCCACCAAGCCTCAGATACCACCTGGCCCTTTACAGAAAGCTTGAGGAGCCTGGTCTGGTAAAAGAAAAAGTAAGGCTCTGGGCTAGGAGTGGTGGTGCCCACCTGTAGTCCCAGCGGCTCAGGAGGCTGAGGCAGGAAGATTTCGAGTTCAAAGCCAGYCTCAGCAACTTAGTGAGGCCCTAAACTACTCAGTGAGACCCTGCCTCTGAATAAAACATAAAAAGGGCTGGCGGTGTGGCTCAGTGATTAAGCACCCCTGGGCTCAATACCTGGTATCCAAAGGGGAGGAAAAAAAAGGAAAGATAAGGCTCTGGGGTGGTTTCCAGGAATGTCCCTCTGTCACTTCACAATGATCCCAGGAGGTGCTGGATTTGAAACCATAACYGGATATTAAGTCTCAAAATCAGGGCCTTCATCCCAGGAAAAAACTGACCAGTTTGGTTTAGTCACCAGAGCACTTGACRTCCCTGGARGGCCAGAGCGCCTCCCCACCCTGGGAGAAGGGAAAGGGTATGTCCTGCTCCAGACGAGCCCAGTCCTGGGCCATGAACTTCTCACCTGAGCTGCACAACTGGCCGGTGCTGCGGCCTGGGCAAGCACAGTGAGGTGTGGGAGGAGCTGGACTTACCTACCCTAGCCCARACCTCCACAGCAGGAGAGAGGAGTGGAGTTTTTAAAGAACTGAACTCCAATTTTAAAGCCATGGATAGACAAAGAAGAATAAATACTTACACCAATAATTAAGTTGAAAAYTTGGGTTAAAAAGGTTATTTTATGAAGGAGTAGCTTATACTTTTTGCCTCCAAGTCTTTATCTTCTTCTCATTAACTTTTAAACATGCTGCCCTTGACTTCTGTTCTCGGTGCCTTCATGGAAGTGATTTTGGAAAGCATCAGTGACTTCTCCACCATGGAAGCCAGGGACTCGCCTCCCGTCCACCCCTGGCCCAGAGCACCTGCAGAGTCAAGGCCTCTCCCGGCCTGCTGCCAACACCATCACTGCTGGACTTCTCTTCTGACATTTTTGCTGGTGCTCCTAGCAATCTGTCCTCTTCCCCTTCTATTCTCCTTGGGGGCTCACTTTAAGCAATTCAAATCTAAAATGTCTAAAACTAAGTTAAATACACTAAAATCATCTTTCAGGTTCTCAGTCTATAATAATATTTCTTAAGCAGACACACTTTAGGATAACCCAGGGAGCTTAAACAAATACGTGAGAGATTCTGAATGAACAGCTCTGGAGGGGACAGTGGCATAAGTGGCACACAGTCGCTCTAAAAAAATCTTCCAAACACGATGGCCCAGGCTGAAGTGGCAGCATAGAGACACTCGGTGCGTCTCCAAGGAAGAACAATACCCAGCGTGAACCTGGTGACAGAGGAGGGGTCTTCGCAGGGCAGCATGTTCACCAGGCACTTACCACAGTGACATGAATGTCCCTGAGGCCAGCCGCCCTCCTCTTCCTCCTCCTCCTCCTTCAGTGGCCCAGCAGACTCCAGCTCAGGGGCTGGCTCACCTCCTGTGGTCGCCAAATCCCTGGTGACATTCCCCTTTGGAGGCTCCCAGCTTTGCCCCTTGGGCTCCATTTCTCCCTCAGTCTCAGCACCATGAGGGCAGCGCTCAGGCCTCAGAGATCCGTCGCCCTCTACCAGCGCTAGCCGCAGATGTGGGGCTGCGGTTGGTTTTGTGCCATGGAAGAAGGACCTGCACCGGGACTCGCTACCCTAAGACCACACTCTTATCCCACTTCAGGGCTTTCTCAGTAACTGACCCCGGCCACGAGTAGGTCCAAGTAGACCTGACAGCTCGAATGGGAGGCCTGCAGCCGAGGGCGCTGCTGGTGAGATCACAGTACACTCGCTGGAGACTCTCCAACCCGACTTGAGTTTCTCTACTCACTGGAGCCAGATGATCCCCCAACAGGAAACAGAAACCCCCTTAAAAGCACCCAGAGGCCTAACAATTTTGCGAAGACAGAGTAGATGTACTTTTCCTTATTCTTCCTGTTAATAAGCACATCTAAAATCCCTGGGCAGTATATAAAATAAAAATAAGCGTAATAAAGTTCTGAGAGGAGGAGAGACGGTGGCCCAAGGAAAGGCATGGTGGTGCGCTCCCTGAACTGTTGGGGTTTAAGTGTGCAGAGCTAAATAATAATAAACTCTGCACACTTAAACCCCAACACTGAACGTTCTCCTTGCTACACCTACCTTCCCCGAGAGCATCAATGCACACAGGCAAAGCCCTAACAAAGGCAGGAGGGGCATCCTGGAAGACAAGAGCCTTCCTTCCTGCCCAATACCACGTGCTCTCACCCCAGCACGCCAGCCAAGGCTGAGCAGAAGCCCAGACTCCCTCTTGCAAGGCCATCACCAGGCCCCCAGTATGCCTGCCAGGTTGGTGTCAAAGAGGACCTGGGAGGGAACAGGGCCTTCCGTCCCAGCCAGGCCCCTGGCTGGGATAACCACCTTCCCCTCCCTACCGGGTGGCGTGGGTTAGCACATCCTCCACTGCCAGCTGTGCCTCTGCTGACAACTCCAGTGCCCAGAACCCCAACCCCACCCAGCAGCAACGAGGAGTCTCCCCACCCTCAGGCGCCAACAGGGGACAAGAAGCAAATCCAGACTTGTAACACACCCTGGCCCCTTCCCCTGTCAGAGCCATGTCAGAGAAAGGCATCAATAACAGGAAGGCTAAGAAAGAGCCAAAGTCTCAGAACATCAAGACTCCAAGGGTCCAGGTTTCAGTCTCGTCATTCTTTATACCAAGAACCAGGAACCTCTCAAATTAAATGAAAACAAACAAAAAACCCAAGTGACTGATGCCAATGCCAAGGAGACAGATATGTTAGAACCACCTGACAAAGACATAACTGTTGTCCTAATGAAGCCAGATTTACAGATAGATAGCTAGTTAGGTAAATCGGGTCTAGTAAGATAAATAAAATGGAGCCATTACAGAGAATGGAGTCCAGGAAACCAGAGCAGCACCTGGGGGAATTGAAATATTAATGTCCCCAAGGCCCAAACCCATCCTAAGGAACTGCTAATGAAGCAGCTCCCAGCAAACAGGGAGGTGCTAATCCAAAAGCTGCCCCAGGCCCTTCCTGCCCAGATTACTCCTTCTGTCCACCTGTCCCCCACCTTTTGGGCCTTCCCACCTGCATTCCATCACTGCAGGACAGAGGGAAACAAAGGACAGGAGTGGGGAAAGCTGAAAGAAGACCTTAGCTATAAAAAAGGGAAGACCTGCCCCTTCCATGGATTATGCCTTTTGGGTCCCCTTCTTCCTCCGGGGAGGAGTCTTTTCTGCTGTCCTTTAATAAAGCTTCCACTGTGCACTCCACACTGGCCTCGGCGTGTGCTTCTCTGGTGTTAGACTTCAGCATTCGGGAAAGCGAGGACTCGTCACCGGTACACAGCGGTGACACTAAGCAATCACAAACACGTCTGAAATAAGCAAAAAACTGAAGGCCTCAGCGAACAAATGTAAAATGCAAGGAAGAACACTTAATGAAAATCATAAAACTGAAAAATAATTGAAATAAAAGGCTCAGTGCGTGGGCTGAAGAGTAGAATGGAGGAGACAGGAAATAATGGTAAGCCTGAAAACAGAAAATAGAAATTATGAGCAAAAACAGAAGAAGTGAAGAGAGGATCTGTGTAATTATAGCAAAAGAGCTAATATTGTGTTATCAAAGTTTCAGAAGGAAAGGAGGAACAGGAGGGGCTGAAGAAGAACTCTAGAAACAGTGGAAATGAAAATGTCCTCTTTCTGGGACACAAAACTACAAATCAAAAACAAAAGAGAAAGCCTGAAGCAAGATAAATGCAAAGGAATCCACACCAAGACACAGCAAAAGCAAACCTAGGAAAACTGAAAACAAAGGAAAAAAACCTGGAGGTCAGCCGGAGAGCAAAGCCCCCTGCCTCATCTATAGGAAAAACAATCAGGATGACAGCTCTGTTTTCAGAAATCATGGAGGCTAGGAGCACTAAAGAAAACAACTGTTACCCCAGAACCC